GGGCCAGGCTGCAGGAAGGAGGGCTGCTGGCCAGCGGCCTCGGCCTGGCAGCCCCTCCCCCGGCAGGGACTGGCCCGGGCGGCGGGGGTCCCGGGGGCGCGTGCACAAGCCAGGGTTCACACCGCGTCACACCTGCACGTCCCCACGCAGGAAGTGGCATTGGTCCGGTCCAGCCACTTCCTCCAGCTCCGTGGGAGCCAGCGAGCTCTGAACTTGATACCTCCCCACGACCTCTGCGTGCCAGGCTCGCTGGGCAGAGCAGCCGCTCTGGGACTGACCGGAGGGCAGGTGCCCTGCTGGCTCCGCGTTCTCCTCCGAAACCCTGTCTCATGCCGGTCTCCCCAGGCCCCGGCTGGGCGACCTTTAGATTCTTGGATCGGGGCGGGTCGTCTGTCGATGCCCTCCCTGCTCATCGTGTGTGTGGTTTCGAAGCCCAGCGGCGCCCTCCGCCCTCCGCCCACAGGCGTCCCCAGGCGTTGCTCAAGCGCGTTCCACCTTCGGCTTGTGTCCACCCCGGGAACTGGTCCCCGTGAGGGTGCCGGTCACCCCTCGTCTGATCTATTGCGGGAGTGCTTTTAAAGAAAGAAAAAAAAGCCAGACGATGCCATTGAAAGCCGATGATTTTAATTTCACAAGGTTCCACTTTAACGTTTTCTCGAAAGTTCCAGACGAAAGCTGATGCCGTCGCAGCGTCGGCCGCCCCGGCAGGGCCGCCTCCCTCCCCGCTTCTGTCTCACATCCGCGGTCGGCCGCTTGTCACTGTCGCTTTGTGAAGCAGGCGGGGTAAGGCCCTGCTCTGGGGCTGCAGGGGTGACGGGGACCTGCCCCTCCCCACATCCAGCCCCGAGGAGGCCATGCGGGGTCACCCCCTGTCTGGGCTTAGGTGCCTCATTCTAGTGCAGGTTCAAGGTTCCGGCAGCTGGGCGCTTGAGCGCTCACGCCTGGGCCTTGGTGGGGTCCTGCCTCCCCGACCAAGGAGGCTGGTGGCCACGGGCACAGACCCTCGGCCGCCACCAGGCCCCAGCGCCGTGGGACGCTGCTGTGAGGGCGACTCAGGGATTCCCGCCTCAGACACGGGTCCACTCGTGCTCACAAATCCTCACCTTTGCAGGTGTCTGCTTTTTGGAAGCGGCCCGTGTTCCGAGCTGAGCTGGGAGACGGGGAGGAGGGTGGAGCCAGGGGTACTGAGGGGGGCCCTGTGGCGGGTGCGGAGCCGGTCCTCAAGGTCTGCCCCCCGCCACTTCGCGTGTGACCTTGGGCTTGCCTGCCCGCGAAGAGGTGTCGTGTACGGCGTCTGTGACCGGCGGTCATGAAGCGGGGCCCGGCCCGGGCGGCTGGTGTGACCGCCTCCGTCTCTGGTTCCTTTCAGCCGCGTCTCCTCTCTCGGAGCCCCCTCTACGTGCGGAAGACGTCAGCTCCGATGACTCCGACGAGATCGTCATCGCTCCGTCTCTCCCCGAGAAGAAACCCGCCCCCCACCCCAGGTCCCTGTCGGCGCGCCTCACGTGGTGACGCTCTGCGGGAGGCCGGGTCAGGAGGGCCGAGCGCCCCGAGCTGCAGAGGCCCTCACCTCGTTCGGACGAGAACCTCCCGCTTCCCGCCTCAGCTTCTTCGCCGGGTTTTCTGTTCCGTCGCTTGTTGGGCGGAGTGAGGGACTCTGCGCGCCCTCGGCTGGTGGCTGGTGGCTGGCGGCTGGCGGCTGGCGGCTGGCGGCTGGCTGTGGGGCAGGGCGCGCGGCCCGCCCACCGCCTTCTCTCCAGCTGCGGGGCTCAAGGTGGTTTCATGCTAGACGGACACATCGCCCAGAACTGGGGGGGCAGCCAGGGAGCCCTGCAAAGACGCCTCTTACAGCAACTGACTGGCCGCCTGGGCCTGGAGAGCACCGAGCCAGGCGGCCCGGCCGGCCCGCTCTTCGCCTGGTCTCTAAGCCGCCAGAGCAGTTTCCTTTCTTCCCTTTTCCCCCACGAGACTCATTGGTAAGTTGGCTGAGTTCATTGCCAACCCGTGCCTCGTTTCACCCACTGGGTCTGTCCCCAGGTGACCCGACCCATCCTGCTCTGGGTGCCGGGTTCAGACCAACAGGTCCATAGGAGCCAGTTAACCCAGCAAAGCAGCCGGGCCGCGTGGGGGCCATCCCTCCCGCCCTCACCCGGATGGGCATTCTTGCACTACTGCTCACTGTCGGCAGCCAGGTGATGGGTGCTAAGGGAAGACACAGCACCGTGCGGACGCCCCGCCTGCTCAGGAGGGGTCGGGGGCGGGCTCTGCATGCTGTCCAGGCCCGGCCCGTGCACCTGCAGGGGCCTGGCCAAAGGGCAGCACTGACAGGGCCAGACGAGCCCATGGACTTGAGTTTTTTGGGGACATGCCCCTGAGCTTATGGATGTGTACCTGTGTCCGCCCCCTGGGCCCTCCTGGGTCTGGCCTGCTGGTCTGTTATTAGCAGACAGTCCTGAAGCTACCTCAGTAAATGACGAGCCCCAGGCCGTGACTCCAGCCGATGTCTGGTGCGCAGTGCCCTTTGCAGGGACTGCTGCCCTGTGGCTCTGGCCCTCAGACACTGCCCTCGTTCCCGGGAGGACTCCTGGTGCCAGGTGTGCGTGCAGGGCCCAGGACTTGAGGCTGGGGTTCTAGGGCCGGGGAGCAGCACGGGAGAGGGCCCGCCTCCCACTGCGCCTGCCCGGCTGGCCCCCATGCTGCGCTCCGGTGCCTCCCCCCAGCTGGAGTGAGGTAGGGGGCAGGGCCGTGGGCGAGCCCTAGGCAGGGTGAGCTTGTGGGCGGGGTTTCGCAGGTAGACTGAGGTCCCTGGGGAGACTGGAAAGGGGAAAGGGATCCAGGAGGAAGGGGCCGTGACCGTGGCTTGCTCCGCCCTGACCTCACTGCAGGGTCTGCCTGTCACCTTGAACTTAACAGGAGCAGAGTAACTGGCCGTTGGAGGTCATGAGGGTGGCCAGCTCTGTGAGAGCACACCCCGTCTCCACCTGCCATGCTGGAAACTCGCAGTGGCAGATGTGGGATTGGGACAGCCTGGGTGGTGGTGGGTGGGCAGCACCATACCTGTTGCCCCCCGGGAAGGAGAGCTTGTGAGCTGCCAGCCCCTGACCAGGGAGACGGCTGGGCTGTCCAGAGGAAGTGCTGTCCCACAGGCTTCTGGGGCACTCCCCCCGACACCCCTGGAGACTGGCCTGGCCCAGCTGTCGACTTTCACAGGATTCTGTCCCTATCACTCAGGACGGGGGAGAGACCCCAGGCTTTGGGGCCAGGGACAGACTTTCCTCACGTTTCTGAAGGTGCAGCAATGACAAGCGAATTCAGGCAGTGCCGCCTTCGGTTCCCGTCCGCCCGCTGGGCGTGGACGTGGCCGAGGAGAGAGAGCAGCAGGCCACGGGCTGGCCAGTCACCAGCAGGAGGAGGCTGCAGCGGAAGCCGCGGGCAGATGTGAGGGTGTGTCGTGGGGCGGACTGGGTGGCCGGTGGCCTGCAGGAGCCGGGCTGTGGGCGTCCGTGTGGAGTGTGGCCCTGGAGAGGGGCGCACAGCTGGGAGACACCCCTACCGGGAGGAGGGCAAAGGACAGCGCCGTCCACGACTCCCCCGGCCCTGCAGTGGAAACCGTGCCCTGGGATGGGTGCTCTGGGTCTGCTGGCCTGGCCGTGTGGCAGGGAGGGACGCTAAGGTGGACAAGTGGCCCTGAGCGCACGCACTGGTCGTGCTGTCTGACGGGCTGCTCAGTGTCCTGTGGAGCGGGTGAGGACTGTGCTCGGCCGCAGACCAGGAGTCTTCGTCCTGGCACTAGGAAGGGGCAGACCCACCAGGCGCAGCTGGCCCAGGGCAGTGCGTCTGAGCTGCGCCTCCGGAGGGAGAAGCGTCCTTGCAGAAGGCCCGCTCGCCTCAGGGTCCGGACGAAATCGAGGTCTCTCTAGGGCGATTGCAGCTCGTTCAAACCCCTCCAGCGGTTCCGGAAGCAGTGTCTGCTCCCAGGTGACTCAGGGACACTCCGAGCTGGCACACAGATGCCGGGATCCTGCCTCGCCGCCACGGTCCGAGGGCTGCAGGCGCTGACCGCCACCGGGGAAGCATCTGTAAAGCCAGGGAAATGGCCTGGGCGTTGGAATGTGAAACCCTGGGGAGACGCAGGAGGGAGGGCCGATCGGGTCGCCCTGTGCACGGCCCGCACGTGAGCCTGTTGGAGGGACGAGCCTTACCCGCTGCTCGTCGTTGGCCTTTGTAAATAAACGTAGTTTTGCAACATATTTGTCTGGATTTCCCAGTGAACCCGCTACTGTTTGTTGCTTCCAGGCAGGGCCATTGTGGCTCCCCCCACAGACGCCTCGGCTGGTCGGCTGCGGGGCCCCGTGCCTCTGGGCTCCTGGCGGTTCCCTTGGTCGTGGTGCAGGCCTCAGAGGCTGTAGCCAGCATCTCGTGACACCTCGTCCCTTGAATTTCTCTTGAGTGAGGACTTGAGCATCGAGAAACGAAGATATGTGGGTGTGTTTCCCCAGATTCTATTTAATTTTTGTTTTAGGAGCAGGGAAGGAATAATTTACTCAGGAATCAAACAGATGCCAATGACAGGGGTAGAAACAGTTGATTTCTAGGAAATCTATTTCCTGTTCTATCCCATATTTGCTGTTGTAGAAAATGTTGTTTTCCAATGTTGCATCGCACAGGACAAGGTGCGTCTGTGGCTCGGCTTGCCTGTGGCTGTTTGCCTGGCCCTAAGCCGGGTTGGATTTCCAGAAGCCCTGCAGTGACCTGTTTTTGGGCCCCAGTGTTTGCCCGAGTCCCCCTTTGCAGCCCAATTACCAGATGTCCTGCTGGCAAATGCTTCTTTGGAAGACTTCATGCTCTGCTGAGCCATATGGAGTCTGTGACTGTGGAGAGCAGGGGACACTAGACACCTGGAGTGGTCTCAGCTGGAGCTGGCCAGAGGGGAATGGGCTAAAGTCCAAGCTTAGGCCGCCACTCAGCAAAAGGAGAGCCAGAGGCAAGGTGTAGACCAGCACGTGAATATACAAGGATGTGTCAGAGGCACACGCACACGCGCACGGACTCCCGCCCCCCGCGTCCCTGCCCCTGGAGTCCGGTGCCCTGGGGAACTCTCGCCGTTTAAAGGCACCCAGCTTAGTCTGCAAGGAGACCGGTAACTAGGTCTCCCCAGGTCCTCACCAAGATGGTTTAAACACGACGTTCCTCAAAAGTCACAGGGAATGAACGAAAAAGTCAGAATCCGAACCCCTCGGCCCTGTCAGCGCGGCTGGCGGGCGTGGCCCCGGACGATGGAAGAGCGCAGGTCCGCGGCCCCTGCTCGGCGCCAGGCAGTGGCCTTTGGCCAGCACCTCGCACTGACATCCTGGGAGCCCAGCCTCGGTACAGCAGGGCCGGCGGCCCCATTGGAGGTGGCTGGGGAGGGATCTGCGGAAGTCTCCACGGTGCCGTGTCCCTTCTGAATAGGGAGAGGGGGTGTTCGTTAATTAAGCCTCAGAAAGCCTGGATTCAAAGGAGAGGCCGGAGGTGTGCCAGGCTCCGGGGGCTGCCAGTGGGGCAGCCCAGTGTGGGCGCTCTCTGCCTCCCAGCCCTTCCTTCCCAGGCCCTGGGATGGCAGGGGGGCGGGGCACGGTGCCCCAAGGGGCTGCCCCTGCCAGCATAATGCACATTTAAAGTCACATGCAAAATAAGATACTTACCGGGTTTCCTGAACCCACATGCGCCCTGTCACCTCATTCAATTTCGGGCTAAGCCCTTTGAGATTCATGCCACGATTTCAAATCCTGCCCAGGGTGTGCTGCCTTGGGGAATGTTTCTTCCCAAGCCTGGGGACCTGTGGAGGTGGTGGCTGTGCTGGGTGGCAGTTACAGTGGTGGGTGATAGTGGGTGGCGCTGCATTTTGTCCTGAATGTCTCTTCCCGTTTCCACGGTGTGACCACTGGCTGCGTTTTCAAGTGATTTTCCAAAGGCTGATTCACAGTGACGCCCAATACTCGCAAATGTGAGGCTCTAGCCCTGGAATTACAACTAAATCTGAATTACGTTTCTTGCACTTTTTAGCCCATTCTGCCGAGGGCCTCCATCAGCATGGCTCTGGCTTCGGGCTGCTTTCCCAGGCCATCGGTGGCGGTCACATCGACAGCCGTGGCGTGACGCGTGACATCCTGTGCGAGGGCTCGCCAGAAGGCAGCTCCCTCTTTCCCAAACGGTCATTGGAGAGGGAACCCTCCCTCTGTATCTGGACTGTCCCTCATGAAGCAGAAGCCTTGCTCACCCCTGCTACTCCCGTGTCCCCCAAAACACCCAGACCTCAGTCGTCAGCACCCCACTCCGCACCCCACCACCCGACCAGCGGCCTGCCTCTCAGAGCCCTCCCTTCACGTCTGACACATTATTTCAAGATTATAAAGTCGAGAATGGCCACACATCGTCCACAATCCCTGTACCTAGAAATAACCACGGTGGACATTCGGTAAATAGCATTGCAGACGCCTGTCTGCATTTATGCAGGGTTGGAGGGAGAGTCGGTAAATATTACACGGAAATCACTTTAAAGTAGATGGACCGAGACACGCTACTTAGATTTTAAAACCCGACATTTAACGCCACTAGAATTTAGCAGGAGAGAAGGGAAGCTGAGGGTCTCCGAGCAGAAGTGCTCACACCGGCGGAGCCCCCAGGCCCGTGTCCTGCCGCAACTCTCACCGGCCCTACGGCATGGGGTGCTGTGCCGCCCCCCAGTCCCCCGGCCTCTCGCACCGGCCCCAAGCGCCTGGCTGTCTCGTTGCTGTTCCCACGACCTGACACAGCGCCCAGCGCACAGCGGGCACTCAGCAGCCGGACAGAACGGGTAAACGAAGGGCCGAGCAGCCCCGGGCCCGTGCTGACCTCCCTCCATCCGCTCGCCCATTGGGTCATCTGTCCACTGGACCACGGGCTCCTGGAAGGAGCGGTCCCAGGAGTCACCTGCACGCGCCCACAGCAGTGTCCGGCACACAGGACGTGCTCGATAGGTGGCGAGCGGGGAGTCTACCGGCCCCCGAGACGGGATCCCAGAGGCAGCGTGGCGCTCCTTCCTCGCCCTGTCGAACTAGGAACCAAGTTCCATCCACTCTGCCTCAGCGGACTCAGCATCTGAGCCCTCCCCAGCCCTCTGTTTGTCAGGTTCAGGCCCGGCCGGTATCTGCGAACACCCCAAACAGCGGTGACCTGGACAAGTCAGACGTTTCTAGTGGCCTGAGGGAAGCAGTATGGGAAAGGCCTAGTGGTGCCAGAATCTTCAGAGACCTATGTTCATGCCGCCTCACCCCTCTGAACGCGAGGCTTCGTGGTACGCGATGGCTGCTTGAGCTCCAGTCACGGTACATGCATTCCAGCCAGCCGGAAGGGGGGGACAGGGGCGTGTCCTCACTGGAGGACACTTCCACTTGTATCCCCTTGGTCAAAATGTGGTCACTTGCATATCTAGCTGCAAGGGAGCCTGAAAAATGTCTTCCATTCTAGGGGTCAAAGACAATAAAAACGGGAGGTGACTAAAGCAAAGAAAGAGACATCCCGTGGGACCACCAGCATTCTCCCTGCTTCTCATCCCCCTGCTGCCGCCCTGGTCCAGGGCCAGGCTCTTCCGTTCTTTGTCCTCACAGCTGCTGTGGTTCTTGGTCAACAACCGCCACGAACACGCCCTCTGCCCTCCCTCGGCAGACTCACGCAGGCTCCGTGCAGCTCTGCCGCCCAGCGTGGCCAACCTCCCCCGTCCGGCCCTGACCCCTGCCCTCCCCCTGCCCAGCCACACACGGCCCGAGGCCTTCGCCGCCTCAGACTGGCCCCCTGCACAAGCTGTTCCCCGGCCAGGCGTGTCCTCTCACCGCACCAGCCCACGTGGCCCCGCTGCCGAGAAGCTCCGGGGTCAGCCCCTCCTCTCCTTGGGTTTCGTCTGTGTTAACATTTGCTGCACGTCTGCCGTGAGCCGGGCGCTGAGGCAGGAAGGCACTTTGTGCATGATGATATCAAGGTTTATTTCATCTGTCTGCGAGTCTGTCTCTCCGCTAGGCCGAGCTCCGTGCAGACTGGAGCAAATTCCTTCACCCGCCTGCCCATCAGGCAGCCCCGGGCGGGGCGGTCCCCACCGGGATGCTGAGGTCCCAGGCGGGAGAGGCCCAGGGGCTCAGGAACGTGCCTCCCCCACCTACAGAAGGAAAGGGCCTGGGGCTGAGCAGGTGGGGAGGTAAAGTCTTCCCGACCGTGGGACCTACCGAAACCACCCCCAGAGATGGAAATGGCGGAGGCGGCTGGGGCCTGGGCTCAGGAGGGAGCAGAGGCCTCGTGGGCGGGTGGGGGGTAGGCGGCAAGTTCTGAGGCGGTTGGCCCTCGCCCCGGGGCCGTGGGAACAGGGCAGGCTGCTGGCAGGAGAACACAAGGGCGGATTTGCATTTCAGAGGTGGAAGGACCTGCTAGCAGCTGGGAGGGGGCACTCTGCGCTGCCGCCGGTCCCCAGGGACAGCTGGAGCCCAGGGAAGCGGCCCCCTCCCAGCCACCTTGCAGAGAGGAGAGGCTGGAGGCAGCTCCGGGCCCTGGAGGGAGGCGGGCAGCGGCCTCACATGGAGACGTCTCCAGCCATCCCTCCTCCCTACCCCTGTGCATTCCAGCGCCCCTGGTGGACTGGAAGGGGGGTTCTGCAGAGCTGAGTGTGCCCCCAGAGCTGGGACCTCAGCCCTGGGCACATGCCTACTGTCTAGGGGGGCCTCCTGCACCCCCATGCCCCCTGCCCATGCCGCACAGCCAGCTGGGATATTTGGGGAGGAAAAGGTCCTTGGGATGAGGGCCCCAGCCAGCCCATCATGGCTGTAACCTGGGGCGAGCCTCGGTTTCCCCATCTGTAAACAAGGGAGTGACGATGGCTGTGAGTCGGTGGCCAGAGCAGGCCTATCCCGGCCCAGGGAGCAATCTGAGAAATCTCTGGAAACATGCACGGAGCACCTATCATGGGCCCAGCCACGACAGTGCCATTGGCATGGCCTGGCTTCTGGAAGCCTCCACCTTGCCCCCGTCCTGATGCCTGCCTACCCAGCCCCTCTGGGAAAGACTGGGTGGAGAGAGAAGTTGTGGGTGACTTTGGACTTGGTCCTGAGGCCCTGTGAGCCAGCAGGGGATGGCAGGTCACATTCCCTCTCGGAGGAGACCGAGGCGGGGAGGAGAAGCTTGGGGCAGAGGGCGTGGCCCTTATCACCAGCGCTCCCGGGGACCTCGAGGAGGAGGCTGGGGTACTA